TCATAGAAAACATATAAACGACGTATGTGTTATAATCACTGCAATAAACATTCACTAATTACTAGAAATTTAACTATAATGAATATTATATAGTTCATTTAAAAAATTCATCAATAAGTTGTTGAAGATAAATCTCCATGATAAATAAAATAAAATAAATAACAATGTATTAACCACAAAATCAATGAGTTTTTGGAAAGTCCAATTGAGTTTGCTATTCATTTTATACCACCTGTTCGAAATTATCAAAAAAAAGCAGTATACAACGAAAATTAAAATGATAAAAATATTTTAATTATTGATATTAACTTTACGTTGAATTTATAACATTTAAAAAATTATCGATATTCATATGATTTTTACTATAAATTAGATTTAAAACAATCAAGTATTTATATAGGTTTCATATTATAGTATGATTAATTTGATCTAGACAATTTAAATGTTGACTGATGAATAATATTATTTTATTATAAAATACTATTTATTTATTGTTATTGACAGATAATAATATGCTCTCATAATTTTTATTTATGATTGAATTATTATCATTAATAAATATTAATAAAATAGATTTCAAACAAAGATAAGTTTAAAATATTAAATTCTGTAATAACATTAGTATGATTGGAATGTATTATATGCAAATATATTCAAATAAAACACAAATAAATAAAAAATAAAAATGATCACACAATGCAAGTCTATAGGACAATCGAATTGTTTCCCATTATGATAAACGGTACACTAAATTAGATTATGGAATGTATATCCGAATCAGTCGGTACACATGATTGTCAACACGAGCTTATGAATGTTTAGTCGTTCGTGTACGTAATTTCGTGGAAGTAATGTACATTTTCCAGTTTTAATTTATAAAAGATTAAGTCAGTAAGAAAAATATTTTACACGCAGAGTTACCATAAAGCTAATGAATAATATTATACTAATGTAAGTGACATATTTATATATATATACAGTGAATTCCGCTTAATGTGGCCACCGGTTAATATGGGCATCTGCTTATTGTGGGCAAACATGTCTGGTCCCAATACAAATGTATATTAACAATGTTAAATAAAACCGCGTAATATGGACACTCGATTCGATTTATGTGGGCAATTTTTTTTTATCGTAGCGTTAGAATATACACATAAGTATTTAAAAACGACTAATTTAATCGGGTTTCGTCGTATCTATGAGATTTTGTTTATCGAAAGTAATAAAAATTATTACCATTCAAACAAACAAATTTCGCCAAAGAGAGGCGAAAAAGTGCATTGAAGTTCTTCATGCAAGAGAGAAACGAAAATAATCCGTCTGATAAACTTGAAGCGTGTGCCCATTTTGCCAATCAGATCCATACTAAACAGCTTAGACAACGAAAAATTACAACGTTTTGTATACCTTCTACATCCAAAGATTAATTTTATTTAATATATTATATGTATTTAGTTTTATTTATATACCTAGTAGTTATTTAAAATTGTTTTCAATTATATGATAATACAAATATATTTTTTTATCATAATTTTTTTTTTTTATTACTAATTTTGGTTTTTATAAGCAACCGCTTAATGTGGGCAAACAGGGTTGGTCCCAACTTGCCCACATTAAGCGGAATCCACTGTATATTACATTTTAATCTATGTAGTTTATGATATTGTTCTATCAATATTGTTTTTAAGTATTAAACATGTATAAGGTACAAATTTATAAACAAAATAAATGTATATTTTCACAAATTTCTAATTGTAACTAATTGCATTAAGTCGAATTACAATAATATTATGTGTATAATTTAAAAATATTCTTTCTTAAAAATATTATGAATTGAGAAAAGTACAAACTTAATTTATTTTCACGAGTAATGTATATATTAATGTTTATACAAGTATCTCTTACATTCTTTGATATTATATATTTATAGAAGGAGGATGAGATTGTTTTTGTAGAAGTAAAACTCTCTAAAAGATTAGAGTAATCTATATATCGATTGAAAAGTGGTCACAGATGAGCTCTTTTACATTGATATATTTTTTAGGATTTCAATAGCTTTGGAAAAACGAAAAATTGATTTTTTATAAATTAGGTTATTATAGCGGGTCGTGAATAATGTACTAGTATATAAATATATTATTTTATCTGAATAAAAATAAAAGATAAATAATAGGCATAGATTGTCTTGGGCTTTGAGCATCATATTTTATAAAATAAAAATACATTCATACATAGTTCTATACATAGTTATACTGAGATTATAAGTTATCTAATGAATCATACTAGTAAGTATTGTATACGAATCATTTTTAATTTGATATTTGTATGTATGTGCAAATGAAGACCACTCATAAATTATTCATGGTAAACTTAATCAATTAAAAGTGATATTTTGCAAAATATATTTAAAAATATAATGTAATCATAAAATATAATCACATTATTTTATCTCTTAATATTATTAAATGATAATTTTTTCATCATATTAAAGTATTTATAAAATAAACGACTAACAAAAATATTTTAGTGTTTTAAATTAATCGGATAATCTTTGAACCTATTAATTGATATTATTTTTATTTTAAGTTATACAAAAATAATTTATAAATTAAAAGTTAATGTTTATACGGCTTAAAGATAATTATTAAATAGGACTGTTAAGACAAAGACAAGAAATGTCTACATTTTACGTTAAAGACATTTTTAGTTTTTTTAATATATTCAACTTACTTTTCAGTAAAACGACATGATATCGCAAATACAACAATAATAAAACTAATTCAAAATTAACTACCAAATATATATAATGTATAGTATTTATAATGTAATCATGCACCTGATACCTATGCCACGATATAATATTATATTTCAATGAGCTTGTACTGGTTATCGTTCAGTTCCTCAAATTAATAAAAACGATCTTGGTTAAGTCAATATAACAAAAGGATCGGAAGTAATTTTCGCTGTATTTTGTGCGATCAACAAACGGAAAAATGTTTTCAGCGTAGTTAATACATTGTACAAATTGTTCAAGACAATTTTAGTGATATACTCACACGTACATAGGAATGGAATATAAATGTAAGATGACGTTATGTTTCTTAAAATATTTTTAATTTTTTTTTTAACTACTTAAATCTAATATATAAATGTATATTTATATACATATTAAATCATCAGATTCAAAGATAAATTGTTCACACGAGTTTTTCAAAAGAATATCCAAAATACCAGAACAATTAAGTATAATCGCAAATGTCGACATACCTCGGTCAAATTACCTAAAGTTTAATGTTATGTCAGGATAAAAATTCTTAATTATGTTATGTTAGTTACTGGTAGTTTATTAGCCTATAGCAACCAAAAAATACTAATTCTTTAGCAGTTCTTTATGTTCTGAACTTAAAAATAAAATTCATTATAAACAAAATATTTTCATTTTAAAACATACCTAAATATATGAAGGTCTATGATTTATGCGTAATATACACGAACTCTTATAAAATGGAATACCGAAAAATATCATAGTTACACATCCAGACACATCTCAGTTTTATCTTATTCAGTCTGGTCTGTTTTCATGAGTATATTATGATAATTTGTGATATGGGATTATGAACAGTTGTTAACAAAATAAAGTTTAAGTACGTATTTTAGTAATAAATGATGGTAACACGGCGCTTTGGTTAGGCATTATAGGTACACCATGGACGTGTAGTCTGTTATGTTGGTATCTTATGAAAACAATTTGTTGAAAAACGTAAAATTGTTTCACAATCGGGTAAACTAATATTAAAGTATATGTTATCATATTATAATTATGTTTGCGTTAACTAAATACAGTAAAAGAGATTTATAACAGAAAATTAAACATAATTTAACTAACGATAGTTTTATATTTGTATTTGAGTGAAAAAATTGAGATTAAAACTTATAAAATATAATTAACATTAACTTACAAAATTAATCAATTTTATCAAACAGACATATTTAAATATTATAACTAGCAAACACACACCAAACTATTCATCGTATTGTGAACGTCATCGTAAATCAATAAAAAAAAAAAAAAGAAAAAAAAAGTGATGTGTTATAATATGATTCTGTAGTTGATTTTTAGAAATGCATCAATATAATTTATAATATACGTTATTATAGTAATAAATGATAATATTTCTGAATGAAGTAGTAATAATACAACGATGACTAAAAAAAAAAAAAGTCGTTCAGATTTGTGTGGTTCGTTGGACATCATGGTTTAGTAACTTTTAAAAAAATGGCCTTTTCCTATGAAAAGGTTCCTGATCCCTGGTCTATACAAACTATACTATAATTCTAATACTTAAACGACTAAACAGAATTTAAAAATAATACATTTAACTATACACATAAAAAAATATTTTTTTTTAATATTTATATAATGTATATATGCATAGGTTAGGTTAGGTTTGAAAACTTGATAATAGTATTTTTGAAAGATTCTGAATTCTATAAAAAAATAAAAATATATTCTGAATTTTCCTTTAATAAATACAATATAAAAAGACTTTGATTAATTTAAATGTTTTCAAATATCTATAGCATACCCTGAAATACGACGAAAATAATATAAACAACACATAATTAAGATTTATTATGTTTGATTTTTTTTTTTTTTTTTACTTTTAAATGTATACAGTATATTTGAATACAATATTCAATAAGCCTATAAAAATTACTATTCATTATAAATCATTCTAAAAACTACACCAAGTATATGTTATTAAGATTAAGTGTCCCACAAAAACGACGACTTGACTGTTTGCACACTTCCCGAATAACGATTTCGTGAGCTGAACACCATACGATTATAAGCTTTACAATAATGACACGTCTTATCGAATTTCAATGATAACGTTGCATTGTAATATGATAGTCTATCACTTTTGGCCAGCTTTGTTAAAAATATATATCGTAACGCGTGATTGGAGGAAAAAATATTATAAACCTAGTCGGCTCACCTGTGTAAATCACTCGGAAACTCGGAGCTCCGCAAAATATTCACGCACGCGTCCCCGACCCGGGACACCTTGGGTGTCCAGCCCTCACATCTGGCCGCCATCACGTCCTTGATACACTCGGCGAACACACGCACTGCCGCCCTGATGGTGTGCTTGTCTTCCTGCGGTGGTGCGACAGGACGCAGCGATAGCATTCCAACCGGCACATTGCCTTTTCTCTTTCCGGTCGCGTTGACGCCGCCGCCACCGGTGTTGCCGATGTCCAGCCACAACCACGCCACGTTGCCGGTGGGTAAAAGTCCGAGCGCGGCTGCCTGGCGCCAGACGGTTTGCGCTGAGTCCCGGTCACCGACTACCACTACAACAGAAGCTTCGGAAGTCGAAAGTTCTACCATGGATCTATACACAAATATAATATAACGTTAAATGAGTATAGAGTGTGATTTGATTCATAGATCGTGCTCGTCCACATAATATTCATTTAATAATTAGTTTATTGAAATTATGTTTTTCAGAATTCTTTAAATATATTTAAAGATTGTGTTTTTAAATTATTTAAGTTGTTTGTATGTACTACTTAAGAAATTTTTGATTGTGGTAATATTTTGTTTTCCAATATTAACAGCTATTTTTCTATTATTCATTATAGGTAAATAACTTATTCAAAATTCAACGAGTAGTTTTTCAATTATTAAACTATTTATACTAAATAAAATGGCCTTTCAAACAAGTTTTACAAAAATATAAAAAGTATGTTATATTGGATATAATATAAATATTCGAACCAATATTACACATTATGCTGATAAGTGAAACTATAACTATTATCAATGTCTGTATAACTATAATCTCCAAATCTTTCAAACTCATTATTTCCAACATATTTTCTATTACATTTAATATTCAAATTTAAATAAATGAAAAACTGCTCGTTCAAATTTTGATTTTGATATATCAACATTTTTCAAAAATGTATCTGCTCAATAATTTTCATTAAAAAAAAAAAAAATGATTTTCATTTGAAAAAATAAGTTTATCTCTTAGCAGAATACTCTTTAAGTAGTATATAAAACTTAAAAATTAGAAAATATCGTCTTTAAGCATATTATTAAAAAAATTCTAAAATCAAATTTTGGATAACAAATATATTAAAGAAAGAAAGGGGTGAGCATGTCTAAAATCCTCCAGTATATTATAAGTATATGTTTTTAAGTGAAATCATTTTGAATGTTTAATATTATTTCATACGTTCTCATCTAATGTTAAATTATGTACTCTCTAAAATATTCATAAAATATATGTACTGTATACATACAAGATTATACCTAATCATTGCTATTATTGTTATTATATCATAGGCAATAAAGTATAGCGTAGTTATATTATTGTTACAACCGACTATATAGCTAATGGTGGTATTACAGAATTTCCGTATACGGAGTTAAAGTTAACCTCAAGTTCTACTCTTAATTATTTTCTCAATAAACAGGGTTTTATTTTCATTTTAATTTATAATTATTATAAAGTATAAACCAGTAGTGAAACTTCCGGTCCTTTTAACATAATATTTTGTTAGTGAAAAATTAAAATTAAAATTTATTTTATCAACATCAAGTAATAAAAAACAATTAAACATGTTTTTTTTCAAAGCTTTATGCTGTGAACATTTTTTATGATAGGTTACAAAATAGAAAATAAACATTAAGTTACTATGTAAAAATGCAATGAAAGTTTTTAAAAAGTACACAAATTAACATAAATCATACTTTATTTAAAAATATAAAAAAAATAATTACATTTAAACTTTTTGACCAATTTATTAAATTTGACATAATTTGCCTAATATTTTTTCATTAATAAATCCATTACATTTAGCTTTTTGAATACCTAACAAAAATCAAAAATTCTTACTTTAGAGTTTTTGACGAGAGAGAACACGGAACAAATTTGTAACCATTTTAGTCAATTCATGAAGTTGTTACTAACATAAAAATAGATATATTGTAAACATTTGTCATGATATTTAAATAAAAATATATATGATTTTGATCAAATTTTTATATTAAATGCAAAACAACAAACATAGATTAAGACAAAAATATTGTGATTTCATCTTAAATTGTTTATTATTTAGAAAGAAAAAGTTGTATTTAACTGTAGTTAAAAATCTATTATTATTCTTAAATTTGTTCAAAAAATTCATTTCTCGTATTTTTCTTTACGGAAAAAACTAGTTTTTAGATTAAATTAAATTATGTTCTTAATGCTAAATAGTTTAAAAAAAAAGTTGTTTAAAAAATGATTGGATCACCCTAGAATTAATTAACACTGAGCCTATGATAAACGTCGCTTACAAGTAGCAGTGTGAATACCAAATACCACATCATGGAACAAATAATTTTACGACCAATTTATCGAACATAATAAATTGTTATAATGTACCTATACTATTATTATAAATTGTGTGTGCGTGTACTTTGGTAAGTACATTCTTTCATTGTTATACCTTTCGTACACGTGTATACGCTATAATTTTTTATAATAATATACAATATATTATGTAATATTAGGAATTATTTTTCGATTAAATGATTTAAGGTAATCGGGTGTTCATATGTGAATAAAACTAAAATGTTACGAGTCTATCACGATGAGGTAATTCAACCTTACAATATTCTGAGAATTTTTATTATTACAATAATAGTATTACATACGTAGCCAATTTTAATTAGAACTCGATGACATATATTCGCATCACGTCACAATCATAAAAAAAAATAAAAAAATAAAATATAAAAAGGACTGGCAAATTTTAATAATACTGTAGTACTGTTAAAATAGTTTTTTTTTTTTATTAATTCACATATATTAAATAAAATAAAAAACATGAATAATTTTACATAATTTATAATAATAATTATTAGATAGGTAATTCTAATGATTATCACAAAAATCAAATTAATGAAAAAAATTTCAATTTTTAAAATATTGTTTTAGTAACAAGCTACAGGCTTATAGTGCAGCAATATAATGCTCAAAAACCATAGTTTATAAATAAAATAATGATTTAAGTTATCATTTTTTGAATGAAAAAATATCATATAAAATGCATTTTAAGTTTAATTAATAGTTTAAAAAATATATTAAAATGTTTTATTATTAAGATATCAATAGAAAAATTACCTACTTTGAAATTAGAACGATAAAAAAAAAGTAGGTAATAATAAATATGTTCATAATAAAATAGGTATTTAAGTTATATTTCAGCATTTCACAATATAGAATATTCGTATAATACGGAAGTTAAACGAACCGAATTAGGGTGTGTAATATTTTTATATGGCTTACATGTTTTAATTAATTTTTAATAGATATTATATTCTTGTACTGCTAAATTTTAAGCAGTTAATTTGAACTAATGAAGTTAACAACAGCGTTCAATAAAAGATCAAAATATAAAATCATGATTGCATTATGATTATTAAAGTAACAATTTTATAAAATATTATGAATTCATATACCTGAATAATATAAGGTCTGACGAGTCTGAAGATATGGGCACCGACGTGTAGCTCAACGGAGTTGTGCTTAGCATTGTCTTGACTCTCTCGTCTATCGTAATTGAGTGTAACACGTAAAATTTATGCCATCCAGTGTGCAACAGAAACGATCTGAGGGCAGAAAACAATTCCCACGGTGTGATGGATACCCTGACTACCATATCATTCCAGCGATCCTGTAACAACAATACAAACCGTTATATGAGAAATCAGACGAGATCGACCAATATCTATGATATTATAACACGTTTAAATCATAATAATATAGTGCAACCACTATTTTTAGATTTGGATTAGAACATTCTTTCTGACAGGGATGTTCAATTGTTTGGTTAATAAAACAAATCGGTCAAACGTTGTTTTATAAAATTCCATTGATATTTATCTTTGAGATTATAATGCATATAATGTAGACACGGTTTTATTTTACAACTGTATTATTAAAAAAATTAAGTTTAAAATAAACAGTTTGTTTCAAAGTTCAAAATAAATATAATCTAAAGCTTGAGTATCATAATTTAATTCCATAATATTATGAATAAGAATATTTTTGTAGAAAAAGTTGTTTATTATTTACAAAAACTTAAATATATAATTGCTAACACATAGATGATATAAAAATTAACACATATTCAAATAATTATCTATAAATTTAAATCTAAATGGCTATAATGTAGAATTATATTAAAATACTATTGCAAGTTTGAAATGCTTTGATACTTACATTTCAATATGGTTATAGATAAAATATTCAGTGTTGGTAGTATGATATATGTTAAAACATATATATAAGGTATTAATTTTGGTAAAAAAATAATTTATAAATATTTTAATAAGTACAAAAACAAATTTTACCAACAAAATATTTGTTGCCGGTTGAAAAAATCTGAATTTATAATAACCATTGTACGCATCATGTGCATAGTATTAAATTATAATGATATTTTCCAAGCGTAATTGCTCTCTGGCCCTGCTGAATGTATTCCTGCAGAATACAGTAGATTTGTATTATTATACAAGCACGACAATGTAATATTTACATTTCGATGAAAGTACCACGATATCTCAAACTCCCATAACAAATATCTCAATAAAGGAACAATATAATACCAATCATCGTAATATAATACACTGAAACATAATAATGCGTGTACGCCTATAATATTCAAACATTGATTATCACATCACCAATCCATCGGGACTATCAATATTGTCATCAGATTTATAAAAAAAATTGATACGATTTTTTTTTAAGGATTAAATTCTATTTTATTTTCAAACTAAAAAATATAATCCGATTTTATATAACTTCTTATTTAAGTTTAAATGTAATTAATAATGTTTTTGCTTTTCAAAAGTTCTCATTTATACAACCTTAACATATTATAATAAATACTAAACCCACTAATTAATTCTGTTTAAACTTATTAAATAACAAATCATTTTTGATGAGTATAAACAAGAAATGATCGATATTTTTTTTAACATAAATAATAACAGAATCTAGTATAATCGATAATAATAATTTAATATTTAGACATTTTCATAATGAAATACTATAATATTTTTATTGATTAATACCCATGAAATATAGTAATCAATATTCAATAATGATGACCGTATATTATTTAAATTTACTGTAATTTAATACAAATATTATGAATAGATGTATTAGCAAGTATAGCAGGTATATTTTAATTCAAATTTATTATAAATATTATAAAGTTGTTATATTTACTTATAAATTATACTTATAAGCCTAACATTAACCTAGCCAAGTCAAGACTAATATACATTATTTATTCTTTATATATTTTCAAATAAATTAATTCCTGATAATAAAATTTTATCTTGAAAAAAATTAAATTGAGTTAGTTTGAAAATTAACCAAGATATTTTTTTAAACTTAATTTATGATGGAATTTTTCAGACTTATAAAAAGAAAAAATTTAAATTTAAATGAAATATTTATAATTTAATTTTTTAAGTACCTAACTTATTTATTATGAGATAAATGAACACATCAAATTATATTTTAATACATTTTATTGTTCATTAAAATCCGTTAATTAATTTTAACTAATAAAAAAATAAATATTTTTAACTTAAAACTCTATTATTTTGTTTATGCATATTTAAACATTTATAGATATATTATATTGAATTTTTTAGAGGAAGTTACGCTTTTAAATTAAATTAAACAAGCTACCCAATAGATCTGTAATTAGAAATAATTTTTAACTGTTCAATTTAAACAAAATTATAGAATTTGGGATTTTTTCTATTCTTCTTCGAAAATTATTTTGATAATAAAAATTTTAGCGATTATAATAAATCAAATGTCCACATTCAGGATTAATATTCATGAAATGCGTATTATGCATATTATTCTATATTTTCCAAATCATTTATTCGGTAAAGTCTTTAATAACTATTGATTAATTTTAAAATGTAAATTTAAATTAAATGAGGATTATAAATCATCATTACATAATATTATTGGTAATAATAAAATAATTATAATTATAAAATCAATGAGCATTGAGTACATAGAAATAAATAGTTTTAGATTTTAGATTAAATTAAATTAATCTAGTCTTTTTAGAAATCCTATGTTTCAGTAAATGAATAGAATCATTTCATTGCTTTATTTTTTATATTAACAGATTTTCAATACATTTGTATAAAATTGTATATTTTCTTGTATAATTTATCATTTAAATATATTTCATAATTTGTTTTTGATTTAACAGACAACCTATTTTTTTGTTAAATAATTTTTTTTGTAAATTATAATAATAACATATTATAGTAAAATTATCAAATATCATAATAATATTACAATATTTTTCAAATTGTTAGGTAAAGACTTAAGACCCAAACAAATGTAGGTGTTCGTACACACGAGCGCGTTCGTGCGATCGTGCATGTGTAATATTATTTACTTTAATATTTTAGGTAAACATGTACATTAATCTATGAATGCGTGAAAACAAAATACACAATAAGTTTATATAGACACACAGTATACGTATTTTTAGTTTAATAAAAATAACACAATGTAACATTAAAATGTTGTGTGCTTCTATTCGTATGTTTTAGTTAAGTGTATAATAATTTATTGAAACATTTTCAGTTTCATTGAATATTTTACTTTGACAACTAATTTACAAAATAGATATAATAATTTACGCATATAATCGTGGAGACTAGAGTCACATTAAAATTATAACGGTAATTCGGAATTACAGAACAATTTATTTTATGAAGCATTATCATTTCATTTACTATTACAGATACCATGAATTCTAAATTATTCTGGTTAAATATTACTAATCTTCATTATTTTTGTTTTAACAAATTTTGTAATGGAAATGCTATATTAAAATTAATATTTCAGTTATATTACATAGAAATTATTTCGAGTGCCGAAACATAATTTATATACGCCTACGTCCTAGTCAACACATATCTCTTAATGTTTCGCTCAGTCAGTTAAATATATTTTTATATATTTCTTACTTTAACTCTCTTGAAATTGGAACAATTTTTCTATGTCTTATTTGACATACAGTTTGCTAAATAATATTATATGTGATCGAAATGTTTCAAAATGAAATGACAATTTTAAAATGTGACGGCATACTATCACCTCAGTGACCAATTAAGTTATATATTTCTTGGGTGGATTTTCCATTTAAAAATCTAATCATAATATTATTATTACCACAACATTTCTAGATCTCACGGATTCCATTTTTATATTTAATGATTTTCCGATTTTAAATTAATTATTATTTAGTTTACGCTGGTCAGCAATTAATTTCTATACCATTTAGAAAAATCAAATTCCTTTTAAATACAATCCTACCGGTATTTTCATTATTTTAATATATATAATATAGATTCTCCACGTGCTACTCTTAAATACGAATCATACCCGCTAAATTAACAAGTTTATGTGAATATCACGCACGTACATGTATTTCTACGCTGTCTCTATCGACCTGAAATTATATAACATATATCAAATAATGGCTGAGATGAAATGTTGTTAAATTTTAGCAACCAAAAATGTATGAAAAAAATAAAAAAAAAAAAATATATATATACACACACACACACACACAAATGCTAACTCTATTATACGCAGTCAGCCTCTTTATCATACATGTAACGTATACGGTAAATTATTTATTTTTGCATACACGTAGTATTACATTATAATAATATACATAGTACATACTATTATACTATACACAACGTTCCTATTACATTTTGCATTGAATAAAAATTAATGTCACACGTGAAATAATTTTTCACTAGTTATACTTATATGTGATACCTCACTATTTATGAGTCGGAGTCGATAAATCACATTGTTATTTATTTAAACGAAAATGAGTGACAAGCGTTACCCACACACCATCGTTGGTGGTAGATATAATGCTTCTTCGTTAAATTAGATTCAAGCGAGCTGGAAACAATTATTATTCGTGATCACGGTGGAGGCGGTTTGTGTTCAATTTTTCATATAGTGAGGTGTCAGCATTTAAAAAAAATAAAAAAAATACCTACATGTCTCTTCGCGTGACGCACACGGTTGTATTATTAACAATTACATTTTTATCTTTATATATTTCAACAGTTAAACCTCGATATGCTATTTTTATTCACTGAATTTTACATTTTTTTGCCACCAAAACTTAGTGGTTCGTTACAATTGTGTGTGAAATTTGAACTAAATTATTATAACGTTAAAATATTGAATTCTGCAAGGTTTTATTGAAAAAAAACCATTGTTATATTGATATATGTGCATAAATACCGACCGTCCTTATCGGAATCGCACATCGACTGACCAATGACGGTCAACAATTTAAAACACTTTTTTAGGATACTATACGATAATCGATAACACTTAGCTACCTATTCAAATGCTTCGGTTATTAACGGACGTACGTACATACGTATATTATATATATATATAGGAATAGTGAGTGAGAGGGAGCTAATTGATTGGCGATTTGAGTGCATAATATACGCAGCAGACTTAGTGAAACAATATTGCTGTCCGGAGGACCTCTTTCTCTCTACCTTCAACTCCACACGTACATTTCCCATCACCCCCTCCCCACAATACATCCTCATAATATGTTCGTGTATATATATATGT